ATTCATTTAGATGATTTCACGGTGCCCGTAGATAAGGAGGTAAATTTTCTTTCCATTGTTCCTGTAATAAAATAACCTTAAAACCCAAAAGTGCTTTTTTTTTTTCCAAAAGGCAACTAAAACCATGACCTGGATGATTGAAAATCTCCATAAACATTTAAAAGTCAGTACAGGTGGTCCTCAATTTACGACCACAATTGAGCCGTAAATATATATATATACATAGAAAGTTTTTCAGACAGACCTCTTTGTCAGCAAAAAGAAATCTGAATATATATATATATTCAGATTTTTTTCTATATATATATAAAATTTACAATTCATAGGTGCTTGGTAAACAACGTGTTGTCTGGGTCCATTTGTTTTACTTAATAATAGTAGTAACAATAATAAAGTTGGAAGGAACCTTGGAGGTCATCTAGTCCAATCCCCAGCTCAGGCAGGAAACCCTATATACCATTTCGGACAAATGGCTGTCCAGTCTCTTCTTAAAAACTTCCAGTGTTGGAGCATTCACTGCTTCTGGAGGCAGGTTGTTCCACTGGTTAATTGTTCTAACTGTCAGGAAGTAATAATACACATTAATAATACACATTAAATTCCTAATCTCTACCCCGTTTTTCCAGCATTTGCGCCACAAATTTCTCTTACTAAGAGAAACAGTTAAGTGAGTTTTTCCCCATTTACAACTTACCTTGACACAGTTGTTCAAGTGAACCACTGCGGTGGTTAAGTTAGTAACCTAGTTGTTAAGTGTCATTGTAATTTCAAATGGTCACTAAATGAACGGTTAAGTCGAGGACTCCCTGTATTAAAAACCTGTATTAAAGAAACATTCACGTTCTTCGTTTACCGTGTTTTCCTATGTACATTCCAGGATCCTCCGGAAGAGATCTACACGGTGTTATCAGCGGAAGAGAAACAGCGTCTGGAAGACCTTCAGCTTTTTAAAAACAAAGAAAGTAGCGTTTCCATTGAGGTACGCTTCAAAACTTCATGTCTGTTCCGATTAATTCAGGCAAAAAAACTGTACAGTCAACGCAAATAATCTAGAAGGGGGTTTTCTAAGAAACTGCCTAGGCAGATGTGAGTCACAGAGTAGATGCAAAACTTGGAGGTGTGAGTTTTGGACAATATATTAGATATTAAGCCTGTAAGCAGTATTTATAAGGAAGAACACTGAATTTTGCCCTTTGAAATACAAGTCACAGTAAGGTACTTTGTTCCTACTATGGACCACCTGTGGATTCTGTTAGAAGACTTACAAAATGGATTTTCTGTTTTTGAGGGCGGGAAAAGATAGGCTGGGCTGTTTTAAGTCATTTTTTTATATGCATACATACACACACACACACACATACATATATAGAAGAGGAAAAGAAGAGGAAGGAATATCATATGCTCACCGCCTTGAGTTGTTTGTAAAAAAAACAACAATAAATTCCATTCAGTTTGTAAGCTCCCCACACTTCTTTTGCTTAGGGAAACGTGGTATAACTAGAGTATTTACTTGTTTTTGTTGTTGTTGTTACTGTGTTGCTGCGTAGGTAATTGAAGACACTAAAGAGAAAAGGACAATTATACACCAGGCTGTAAAATCTTTATTTCCAGGATTAGAGACCAAAACAGAGACCCAGGATGGGAAAAAGTGCATTGTGGCTTACCACGCAGCTGGGAAAAAATCCCTTGCAAGTGAGTTTTATTACTGCCATCATTTAAAACAAAAAGTGGGTTAGTCACCTGCTGAGAGCCTCTAATTAGTGAATCTTAATTATTTTGGACAGCCTTCCAGAGAAGTTGAGTAGAGGCTTCCGACATCCTACCAACTCAGCAGAATTAGAATTAAAGTGACTGTGACTCTTAAAAACAGCTACCTCTTTATAGTTCAGGCTGCTGGAGCTGCAAGTAGTTCTCGACTTACAGCTGTTCATTTAGTGACCGTTTTTCACATTTGTGACCACTGCGGGATCACGGGATCAAAATTCAGATACTTCGGCAACTCGCACGCCTTTATGACCGTTGCAGCGTCCCAGGGTCAGGTGACCCCCTTTTATGACCTTCCAAAGTCAATGGGGAAGCCAGACTTAGATCCGTTATAACAGTGGTTCTCAACCTGTGGGTCGGGACCCCATTTGGGGTCGATCGACCATTTCATGGGGGTCGCCAAGCAAGGCTGTCCGCCATTTTTTTGTCCGCCATTTTTTTTTGTCCGCCATTTTTTTTCCCTTTTCCGGCGGGTGCCTTACCTCCCTTGGGCTGGGCCAGCTGGTGGTCGGCCTGCTCCATCTCTGCCACTTGCCAGCTACGCCTCGGCCGGCGCAGGGGGCGGAACCATGCATGCGCGGTGCTCCCGGGCAGGGAAAGTCCTCGACTTACGACCGGTTGGGCAGTCCTCGACTTATGACCGGTTTAGTCTTCGACTTACGACCGGTTTAGTCCTCGACTTACGACCGCTTGGGGTCGCGGCATTAAAAAGGTTGAGAACCACTGCGTTATAACTTTAAAAGGATCCCTAAGCGGCGAGTCGTAAGTCGAGGACTCCCTGCATCGTCACAGTCACTAAAGAGCAAAGTCGCAGGATTTGAAACTTCCGTCAAAATGACAAAAGGCAGCATTGTATCGCCCTGACGTAAACTGGGCTGCTTTTTTTACCTAGGGGGTGACATCACCAAGGACATACACAGGGGCAAAACCACTATGCAACACTGCCTTTATCATTTGCCCACCCCCTGAGGGTACCTGTGCTTGCAATCTAAAACAGTGTTTCTCGACCTGTTTAGCTGGAGAAAAGCTTGGAGAAATATTGAGAAATAACTGGTCTAAAAGATATGATGGAAACAAAAAAAAGAGGGGAGGATTAGAAATTTGGAGGAGATACACTAAAGCAGGGGTAGTCAACCTTGGCTCTTTTATGACGCGTGGACTTCAACTCCCAGAATTCCTGAGCCAGTATGGCTCAGCTTGGAAACCTCTCCCTTTCCCCTCAGCGTGGCTGGCTCAGGAATTCTGGGAGTTGAAGTCCACGAGTCATAAAAGAGCCAAAGTTGCCTACCCCTGCACTAAAGCATCCGTTCTTAAACACCGGTCCATATTTTGATGGGAGAGGAAGCTATTGAAACAGTTAACAGAAAGCTTAATGAGGTTGGGAAGCCGAGCACCGAGAAATAAAAAGCCATTTTAATTTGCTGTCAATCTCTCTGCTTCGGGAGCAGAACATTTTACAAGCCACCATTCCAATTCTTTAAAGAGAAAAGACGTCTCAGCAAAATATATATATATATATATCATGATTTTGCTGAGTCTTTTTGGATTTGGATGGCTTCTTGTGCCTCTGAGCAGTAAATTGATCTTCCCAGCAGTCGGTCAATAACTTTTCTCTCAGGCTGCTTAACCAGGATAATCTTCAACAACGGCTATCCAAAAAACAGTAGCCATCTTAGTTCACAATGGCTTTTGGTGCTAGAATTTAGAACGATAATCACTTTCTATCTCATCCATCTTACTTGCCCTGCTTTAAAAATGTAGCATCTAAGCGCCTTCCACAAAATCAGTTACGTCGCCTAGTTAAGACAATTCCAAACAGAATTCCCAAAATATAAATATATCTTGGGGCAAATGTAATTGTGTCTTGCATAGAGTATATAAAGCTGTCTGCATGCATTTGCATGGAGCATGCACGTTTACAGATGGAAACCAAATCTTAAAATCATGCTCTCCGTCTTCTGTAGCTCACCCGTAGGAGAAAAATGCATGGGTCAGCTTTGGGAATGTGACATTGTAAAATGTAAGGGCCCTCAGACACGCCTACATTTTCCCCCGTGTTCACTGGAATAAACAAGATCAATACTTGGATTAAATAGGCTGTCTCTGTTTTGAACTGAAATTCTGTATGACGTCCCTGGAATGCTTAATCTTTGAGTATGTCTAGCTTAGCGATGAAGTAAAGGTGACAAGAGAGCCTTCTAATATTTGAGGGGCTGTCACAGAGAAAAGGGGATCGACCGATTTTCCAAAGGACCTGAGGGCAGGACAAGAAGTAACTGATGGAAGCTTACCAAGGAGAGAACCAACCTAGAACTGAGGAGAAATTTCCTGAACAATTAACCAGTGGAACTACTTGCCTCCAGAAGTTGTGGGTTGCTCCATCACGGGAGGTTTTCAAGAAGAGATTGGACAGCCCTTTGTCCAGAATGATATAAGGTCTGCTGCTTCAGGGGGATGGACTAGAAGACCTCCAAGGTCCCCTTCCAACTCTTATTATTCGGTATTCTGGAATGCCCTCAGTGTTCTTTGTTGTGCGTTTAGCCGAAGTTGTCCATTCCTTCCTTGTGCCCTTGCACGTTTCATTGTGTGGCTGTCCACACAGCTGTCGGTCGCCATGTTAACTGCTGGAATGCTCCAGTCATCTACAGCATACAAACCATAACCTTGCATGTTTCCGTCTGAAACTCTTCAGTAGCTAAACAGACGTAAAATGAAACCTTGCTCTTTTTGTGCTCTTTATCCTATGCCTGTGATCAGAGGCCAGGACATCAACAGGTAAGGGGATGCTGGCGTTTCATCGAAGCCGAAAATGAAACGCCACTCAAAGTAATGATAATTTAGAGAAGTTAAAGAGTTGAAGGATTTGAAGAATCCTTCAACTCTTTAACTTCCAACACTGGAAGTTTTTAAGAAGAGGCTGGACAGCCATTTGTCCGAAATGGTATAGGGTTTCCTGCCTGAGCAAGGGGTTGGATGACCTCCAAGGTCCCTTCCAACTTATTATTATTATTATTATTATTATTATTATTATTATTATTATTATTATTATTATTATTGATCATCGCACAGTCAGCCAGATGTTCAGACTGGATTTGGCATTTTTGTCTACCTATCAAGTCCTTATCAAGGACCTGGGATAGGCAGATGTGGAGGTTTAAGGATATTACAGATCTCGTTGCAGGATGGAAGCAGTTCCTAGTAAGGCCGCCTTTTGCAATTGACTAATGGCGAATTTGTCGATGCCGATGGTGTTCAAGTGGTGCTCCAGTTGTTTACTTGAACACCATTGGCATTGACAAATTCACCATTAGTCTATTATTATTATTATTATTATTATTATTATTATTGATCATCGCACAGTCAGCCAGATGTTCAGACTGGATTTGGCATTTTTGTCTACCTATCAAGTCCTTATCAAGGACCTGGGATAGGCAGATGTGGATGTTTGATGGTATTACAGATCTCGTCGCAGGATGGAAGTGGTTCCTAGTAAGGCTGCCTTTTGCAATTGACTAATGGCGAATTTGTCTATTATTATTATTATTATTATTATTATTATTATTATTATTATTATTATTATTATTATTATTATTATTATTATTATTATTATTATTATTATTATTATTATTATTATTATATAACAAAGATAAATGTACGTGCAGTCCAGGACTTCCCACTTTCATTCAGAAGTAAACTTTTTCACTCTTAATTTACATTTAGATACATGTACGTTACTTAAACAAATGTAAGAAAACAGCTGCAGCTTAGGAATTAAATTAGAACTAAGATTTACATGTAATAAATAGCATCATCCTTGGGATTAATGTATATAGTTCTTTAATAAGAAGAATTTTGATCTTTCACAAAGCAGCTGCTGAAAAATAATTGGGAATCAAAGGCCAAGGACTTCCACTACCTCTTTTACAGAACGTAGTGGTAAATTCTTCATCATTTTAATATAATATATATTATAAGAACATATATCGTTTTCAGTTTAAAATGTCTAATCTATATACTTGGAAGATGAGAAAATGTAGTTGCCCCGCGGGCGCATTTACATCAAAATCCACGCTGCAAACAGCATCCATATTTAAACAGTAGTTTTATAGCGTTGACACCTCAGCTTTCAATGTGCTTTAGGTAATAATCAAATTATAGCAAGGAAAATGAATGGCATTTAAGCAGACGTTTAAGTCCCATCTGATAATCTGTTGCCATCTCTTACCCTATAATTTGGCTCCTATTTCGAGGTGCTTTAATTCAGGAGACTTTATTTCATGTTAATTAAGGGAGAAGTAATTGTTAGCTCACAGGCAGTGTCAAATAATGGTCTGGCACATTAAGCATAATGTCTAGGCTAGCGCATTTGCTTCTCCTGTTGGAAGAGCTGACGGAAAGCGACTGATCTAAAGGAGTTCAGTGCCACATCATAGTTTGATCTTATGCCTGAATGGATCCCAGTCATTTGTGGAAAAACCACCTGGCGAATTTAACCTGAGGGGCTGAAACTGAATTTCTTGCATTCGGTCCCAATTCAGTATATTAAAGAACTTTGCATCCCATTGGGTAACTGTAAGGTATAGGGTACACTAGCTAGCCATTACACTGCTACCTCGGTACTCGTTAATTGGTTCCGGGAGGCACAATGAGTACATAAAACAATGAGTACCAAACAGATTTTTTTCCCATAAGGAATAATGTAGTGAGTCACAAGGCAACTGATAACGACAAGTTCTAGCTTGTGCATTGAGTAGCAAACACACTATGAATACTGGGACAAAATGTTCATGTCAAAATGCATCAAGTATCAAATGGGATGAGTTTCAAAGCCGTTGAGTATCAAGGTACCAAAATATAGAGATAGATAGATAGATAGATAGATAGATAGATAGATAGATAGATAGATAGATAGATAGATAGATAGATAGATAGATAGATAGATAGATAGATAGATAGATAGATAGATAGATAGATAGATGATAGATAGAGAATTTGAAAAATGGCTTTATCCAAAATTATTATACTAGTGATTATTTTGGTGTTCCTCCTTATATCATTGCTTTTGAACATGCTACAGTTGTCTGTCTTAGTCTTTTACACTCTGGGGGTCTTCCAAAATTGCTGGAACTATAATTCCCAATATTCCATCACCGCCAGGTTGGACAATTTGTGATGGTATCCTTGGGCCATAACTGGCTTGTTAGACAAGTGTGTTTTATTGTGGGGCAGTTCATATACAGATAATAAATGCAATATATATGCCAATGTTTTTCAACCGTGGCCACTTGAAGATGAGTGGACTTCAACTCCCAGAATTCCCCAGCCAGCATGCTTGGCTGGGGAATTCTGGGAGTTGACGTCCGCTCATCTTCAAGTGGCCATGGTTGAAAAACACTGTTTATAAACCAAAAAAAAATGCTGACGAATATCTCTTTTTCTGTGAGGCAAATGTCACCCCCCACCCGCCCAATTCAGGATGCAGATGGCACCCCCAGGATTTGCAAACAAACTTTGTTAGGTAAAGCTTGGCATTTTTCACGCATTAACATTTTGCGCCTTTCGTATTTTATTTGCAAAAGATCCTAGGAAGCATTCCTGGCCCAAGTCCAGGGGAAATTACTGCCATTTTGTCTTATACAAAGAAAACAAGGACACCATGGACGCCATCAACGTGCTCTCCAAATATTTAAGGTGAGTCGTATTTGGGGAAAAGAAAGAGAGAGACTCATTTTTGAGATACTTTATTTACTACATTTATATGCCGCCCGTTTCTATCAAACGACGCTGTCATGATCCTCGTTTGTAGCAGACGGTAGAAATGTCCTGCCTTAAATCTAACAAACAAAATGGAGGCTGGCTGAGGAATTCTGGGAGTCGAAGTCCACAAGTCATAAAAGGGCCAAGTTTGAAGACCCCTGTCTTAAATCTAACAAACAAAATGGAGGCTGGCTGAGGAATTCTGGGAGTTGAAGTCCACAAGTCATAAAAGGGCCACGTTTGAAGACCCCTGCACTAAATGAATGGTTGTAAGTCAAGGACAACAGGGATCAAATAAGCCATTGACGTTTAAAGATGGATCCTTTTTTTAACCTTTGATAACTTTAAGACGTGTGGAGTTCAGCGCTCAGAATTTCCCCACCCATTGGAAATCCGCCCGTTTTAAAATTGCCAAGATCTAGGAACAGGGCTTTAGGGCGTAACTGGTTTTAAATAAAACACAGTGTATGCAAATGATACTTTAGGAATTTTATTTCACCCCCCATAATTTGTTCCAGCTAAACAAGTTTCTTTTTCTTTCTTTACAGAGTTAAGCCAACCATATTTTCTTACATGGGAACCAAAGACAAAAGAGCTATTACAGTTCAAAAGATAGCTGTTCTGAAGTAAGTATAAAAAAAAAAAGAAGAATAATGTTGAATTAATCTGGTTCAAATATTGATTTTTTTCGACAGTGGGATCCAGGGCTGCAAAATCCGGGGCAGATTGGATCGTGATATTGAGTTGGCCCTTTGAGTTGCGTTCAGAAAGCGCTGAAGTGAGATGAAAGGATGAAGAATTTCACATTTACTAAATATATGTGGAAGAAACGGTCAGGAATGGCTTCAACGTTAGTGAAGTTGAACAGTTTAGCATTTTAACTACGCGCAAGAATGTGCAACATGCATAATCTTTTTAAATGACCAGAGAGCCACCTGTGTCCGGTTTTATTTTTGCAGATGGTCCTTGATTTACGACTGTCATAGAGCCAGACATTAACAATCGTAAGTTGTGCTGATTGTTAAACGTACAACTTTTGCTGAGGTCCTTAAGCAAATCGCCATGACTGTTAAGCAGATCTGTCGTTAAGCTAACACGGCAATTGTTCAGCCAACTTGTTGCCTGCAATGGGTGGGTTTTTTGGTTTTTTTTGCCAGAAATTGGACTTTTTTTTGCCAGTTACTGGCCCCAAAAAATAATAATAATAATTGTAAAACAAAATCACGGGAGTGTAGGATGCTGTCTGTAAATGCAGGCCGGTTTTCCAATGGCTCAAAATGTCACCATGTGACCCCAGATGGGTAGTCATGCGGTTGTAAGTATCCTTTTGGGGGGTTGATCATGACTTTAAAGCAGGGGTAGTCAACCTTGGCTCTTTTATGACTCGTGGACTTCAACTCCCAGAATTCCTGAGCCAGCATAGCTGGCTCAGGAATTCTGGGAGTTGAAGTCCACGAGTCATAAAAGAGCCAAGGTTGACTACCCCTGCTTTAAACAGTCAGTAAGTAATCGATAACTACCTATATTAAGTTAAACTGGGTGAAAAAATAATCAGTGTGTGTATTTAGTACAGGGGTCTTCAAATGTGGCCCTTTTATGACTTGTGGACTTCAACTCCCAGAATTCCTCAGCCAGCGTGCCTGGCTGAGGAATTCTGGGAGTTGAAGTCCACAAGCAGGGCTCTTCAAACTTGGTCCTTTTATGAGTTGTGGACTTCAACTCCCAGAATTCCTCAGCCAGGCACGCTGGCTGAGGAATTCTGGGAGTTGAAGTCCACAAGTCACAAAAGGACCAAGTTTGAAGACCCCCGGTTTAGTAGCTATACTGACATTTTGTTAACATCTTGAAAATTGAGTTGTCTAGGAAAAATAACTCTTGCCTGGCCTTTCCTTCTTCCAGCGAACCTCAGGAGGAATTGGAAAGACATAATTTCATTTTCACCAGCAGAATAATAAGAGTTGGAAGGGACCTTGGAGGTCTTCTAGTCCAACCCCCTGCTCAAGCAAGAGATCCTGTACCGTTTCATACAAACAGCTGTCCAATCTCTTCTTAAAAGCCTCCAGGAACAAAAAAACGTAGCTTACTTATGAAGTCTTGGTTTAATAAAACAGAAACAGAATATTCCAATGTCTTCCTCACAGTCATGATGCAGAAGAGCCGAAAAAAACACCGAAGCTTAAGATCTATTACAGATTCTTCCACTTGTTTAGTTTGGAGTAAATGATCTCTGGGGGAAAGTAATAGTTTTACCTATAAAACTCTTTATTCTCTGTTTTGTTTTCTTTTCTTTTATAGAATCACCGCACAGAGACTAGCTCATTTAAATAAATGCTTAATGAACTGCAAGCTTGGAAACTTCAGTTACAAGAATCACCCCCTGAAATTGGGAGAATTGCAAGGAAATCATTTCACAGTGGGTCTTAGGTAAAAACGCTCTATTTCCATGTTTCTTAGAAGTCTCTGACCTGGGAAAGGTGGAATAAATCTCCTTAACTAGCCTTGAAATTGCTCTCTGTTGCATAGGTTAGAAATCCATTTGCATGAGAAAGGGCCCTAAAAAAGAATCTCCAGTTGTACTGATTCAACAAAATACTTGTTCATTTCCTTTTTTCTGGAGAATAAATCAAATTAAATAAAGAGGATTAGCCTTGTAGCACCATCCAGATTTTCACTGTGTTGCCTGTATCCCAAATATATAAACATATTTATGTTTGGTATGGATCCAGATTAATTGGTTAAACTTGAGATCCATAGAGCTTAGTGGAACTAAAAGCAACTCACTAACATTTTCTGGATGTAGCTCTCTGTTTTTAAAACACTTCGCACTATTTTTCAATAAACCCACCATCTGTTTAAGTTCAGCAACCTTGGTGTCCACATTGGTTAACTCTGACTCGTTTCTAAATCATCAGACTAAATGAATGACATTTGTTTTAAGCTATTTCTCCCCATTTCCCTCACGTATCATTTTTTTAAATTTGTATTAGAAATATAACAGGGACTGATGGTGAAGTTCAGCAAGCTATGCAGTCCCTCAAGGAAATTGGATTTATTAATTATTACGGCATGCAGAGATTTGGAACTACAGCTATTCCTACATTCCAAGTGGGAAGGTAAGCTGCTTTGTTTTGTACACATAAACCTCTGAGCTCTGATCTGATAAAAACCCAACAACATATAAGTAGGTCAGGGCTACTTTTATTATAGCACAGGTAATCAATCAGCCAATCAAAGTAGAGCTGGAAGGCACCTTGGAGGTCTTCTAGTCCAGCCCCTGCTCAAGCAGGAGAACCTATACCATCTCAGACAGGTGAATGTCCAGTCTCTTCTTAAAAATCTCCAGTGATGGAGCACCCACAACATCTGGTGGCAAGCCATTCCACTGGTTAATTGTCCTCACTGTTAGGAAGTTTCTCCTTAATTCCAGGTTGCTTCTTTCAACTTACTTAACCCTTGACTTACGACCACAGTTGAGGCCAAAATTTTCCTTGCTAAGCCAGACAGTCCTTAAGTGAGTGTTGCCTCCATTTTCTTGCCACAGTTGTTAAGTAAATCCCTGCAGTTGTTAAATTAGCAACGCAATTGTTCAGCGGATCTGGCTTCCCCATTGACGCCTGACTCCGGGACACTGCAACCGTCGCGAATACATGCCAGTTTCCAAGCATCTGAATTTTGATCACGTGACCGTGGAGATGCTGCAACGGTTGTCAGTGTGTAAAAATTGTCACGAGGCACTTTTTTATCAGCGCGTCGTAACTTCAAATGGTCACTAAATTAATGATGATAAGTTGAGGAGTGCCTGTATTCTGTCAATAGGATAGTCTATCATAGTCTATTATAGAACCACAAACTTTAGTAAAAAAAAAAAAAAAAATGCACCGGGCGTCCAGAACCTAACATGATTCTTGCATCCCCTTTTGGGGAAATAAATGCAGTCATAATTTTTGTATAAAAGGGAGCTGTATGGCTTCAGTGAGCTATATGCAATGCTAACCTACAGTGAATTGAATTGTAACTTAATAAACTAACCCAATTTTCTGGGCTTACACAATATACTTAAATTAATCGTGGGTCTGCATGTGTGCCTTACCCTAGGCCAGGGGTAGGCAACCTTGGCTCTTTTATGACTCGTGGACTTCAACTCCCAGAATTACTGAGCCAGCCATGCTGAGGGGAAAGGGGGAAGTTTCCAAGCTGAGCCATGCTGGCTCAGGAATTCTGGGAGTTGAAGTCCACGAGTCATAAAGCGGCCTAGGCTAGGCCAGAAGTAGGCAACCTTGGCCCTTTTATGACTCGTGGACTTCAACTCCCAGAGTTCCTGAGCCAGCCACGCTGAGGGGAAAGGGAGAGGTTTCCAAGCTGAGCCATGCTGGCTCAGGAATTCTGGGAGTTGAAGTCCACCAGTCATAAAGAGCCAAGGTTGCCTACCCCTGCCCTAGGCTGTTCACTAACCCGTACTTCAGGGTTTCACGTCGGCATAAATTTTAAAAAGTAAGCATTGCAGATTAGATCTCTTCTGTTTGTTGGCTTTAGCATAATGTTTTCTTTTGATCATACAGTCCAGTCTGAAAAAAAAAATGTGCTTGGATTTTTAGAGCTATCCTGCAGAGCAACTGGAACGAAGCCATCGATTTGATACTCAAGCCACGTCCAGGAGGCAAGTATTATATTGGAAAATGATTTGGAGGAAGAGTAATAACCTGGTTTTAAAAAAAGCTAGCTGCGATGTCGCTGGCCGATTTAAAAAATCTTGCTTTTTTTTCTGTCCAAATTTGTTAACAGTTGAAAGGGGTTCCTTGGTAAAATGTCGGGAAGAATGGGCGAGGACGAAAGATCCCGCCGCAGCCTTCAAAACACTGCTGAACAAAAGATGTGTGGAAGGGCAGCTACTGTGGGGGCTTTCTAAATACGGACCGAAAAATATAGTCTCTGCATTTAACATGGTAAGTAAGTTGTTGTTGTTGTTTTTTGTACACCCAGGTCAGTGTTTAGAGCGGAGTTTGAAGGCTCTTTCTGGACAGGCTGAGAAAACACCAAGGATGGGCAGAAATTAAGATGTATTTAACTCAGAAAGACTTTTCTCTGATCATCACCTTGTGACTTTGGTTCCCAAATGAAATCTAGCTCTTTTAGATGGAGACTGAAGGAAACTTTACCAAAAGGAATAGTGTAGGGCCAAAAGATTTTTTTAAATAATTTAAATAAACTAATGGTTTGGGATGCAGTTAAAACTTTGATTAGAGGTTATTTTATACAGCTATAATCTAACCCAGGGGTAGGCAACCTTGGCTTTTTTATGACTTGTGGACTTCAACTCCCAGAATTCCTGAGCCAGCCATGCTGAGGAGAAATGGAGAGGTTTTCATGCTGAGCCATGCCGGCTCAGGAATTCTGGGAGTTGAAGTCCACGAGTCATCAAAGAGCCAAGATTGCCTACCCCTGATCTAACCCATAATGTATACTGGTAATCCTCAACTTACAACTACAAAGGAGCCCAAACTTTCTGTTGTTAAGAGAGACATTTGTTAAGTGAGTTTTGCCCCATTTTACGACGTTTCTTGCCTCCGTTGTTAAGTGGATCACTGCAGTTGATAAGTTAGTAAGCTGGTTGTTAAGTGAACCCGGCTACCCCCGTTGACTTTGCTTGTCAGAAGGTCGCAAAAAGGGATCGCGTGACCTTAGGACACAGCGACCGTCGTAAGTATGAATCGGGTACCAAGCGTCTGAATTTTGATCACATGATCCTGGGGACGCTGGAAAGGTCATAACTGTGAAAGACAGTCATAAGTCCCCCATTGTAACTTTGAACGTCACAAAATGAACTACTGTAAGTCAAGGACTACCTCAATATAACTTCTTGAATTCCTCAAGATCTTACAAAATGGGACTACATGTTTCCATCATAACGTGTACCGTAGTATTATGTGCTCCTTTTACATATTTTTACTACTATTAATCCATGCACTCTATGCCATGCGCTAAATAAATAAATATGACTTAAAGAGAAGAGAAAGACAGGGTACTTTGGCTGAGTTGGAAAGAAAAGAACTAAATATTTGGTAAATATTATTGTGAATTCTCAAAACATGAGTCTTTACTGTAACTAAATGTAAAATCTAACTCAAACATCTTATAGCCTTTGTTTGTTTGCTGTTATTATATTGGGAAAGAGATTCAATCTGAGGCAAATTCAATTTGATATTCAGATTAGATTTTCTGCAGGAAATACACTGTTATTCATTGTTACCGGAGATGTGTTTATCTGTTTATGTGGCTTCTGTTTTAAATACATTCTTGCTGCATTCCTGTATTTGATTACAGGTATCCTATTTGATACAGGACACTGATTAAAAACAAATCAGGAAATAAAGTGAAGTACATGCAGCAAAGAATGGTGATGGTCCTTTTCTGTTACAGATAACAAGAAATTATCGTTTGATGTACATTCATAGCTACCAGAGTTATGTCTGGAACAACATGGTGAGCGAAAGAATAGAAGAATATGGGCTGAGAGCAGTTCCAGGGGATCTGATACTCAAAGGAGGTAAAATATTAACAAGGCTTCACCATGCAGATCATGTTCTTTTTCCTCTAATTTCCAACGAAAGCTTCCTCTGACTTTATAAGGACTCAAATTTTGCAGCCTAGCCTATTGGGGGGGAGTCTGGCCATTGAAAGTGTGTCAGGTTTGCTAATAGGCCTGTTGTTTAGCGAGACGTTGTTCCTCAAGGAGAGAAACAATCTACTGTAGAACTGAGGAGAAACTTCCTGACAGTTAGAACAATTAACCAGTGGAACGACCTGCCACCAGAAACGGTGAATGCTCCAACATTGGAAAGCCATTTGTCTGAAATGGTATAGGGCAGGGGTAGGCAACCTTGGTTCTTTTATGACTCGTGGACTTCAACTCCCAGAATTCCTGAGCCAGCCACGCTGAGGGGAAAGGGAGAGGTTTCCAAGCTGAGCCATGCTGGCTGAGGAATTCTGGGAGTTGAAGTCTGCGAGTCATAAAAGAGCCAAGGTTGCCTACCCCTGGTATAGGGATTCCTGCCTGAGTAGCGGGTTGGACTAAATGACCTCCAAGATCCCTTCCAACTTTTTTTTATTATTATTATTATTATTATTATTATTATTATTATTATTATTATTACGTTGCCCCATTTTATAACTTTCCTTGCCACAATGGTTAAATGAATCACCGCCGTTCTCAAGCTAGTAGCACGGCCGTTAAGCGAATCTGGCTTCCCCATTCACTTTTCTTGTCAGAAGATGGCAAAAAAAAGTGATCACGTGACGCCGGGAACGCTGCAACCGTCATAAATACCTGCCAGTTGCCGAGAGTCTGAATTTTGGATCACGTGACCCTGAGGATGCTGCAAGGGTCATAAGTTTGAGAATTTTTTTCAGTGCCGTTGTTAACTTTGGGGTCACTAAATGAACGGTTATAAATCGAGGATTTCCTGTATTGTAAGAAACTCACCATACAGGCTGCCTTCCCTCGGGAATCAGTAGATAAGGCTTCACTCGTCTGATCTGTGACATTTTCTCCCACGGAGTGATCCCATGTTGACATGCCTCTCCTTTGATCAGTGGTTCCCACCACATCCTGCAAAGGTGGGTCAGAAGGAAAAGGAGTTATTATCAGGGTTAGGATGGAGCCACTTCCATAACCTGTCGATCTGGTTCAGAGGACACGCAGGGCATCCACTGCAACATTAATCCATACATTGGGATTATGTAAACAAGTAACTAGAATGAGGGCAGTTAATCTGGGTCTGTTATTCTGTGTTAGCCAATCTTGACCAGTTCTTCATTCAGATTGTATTTGCTTTTCCTTTTTTCCCCCCAATTTTAATTAGTTTTATTCATTCATAACACAAAATGCAAAAATACCAAAGGGGGCAAGAGTAGAAAAAGGGAAACCAAAAAAAGGTGCGAAGAAGGGGAGGGAAGAAACAAAAAAGCATTGACTTCTGACTCGGTGGCAGTAAAATCCGACGTTAAAATCAAATCTCAGCTTTTTACATTTCTATAGTAAGAGGCACTAGCCATTTCTGTATCGGCAAACCGAGCGGTCAGACCCCAAATCAGGATAGCATTTTTTTCCCACCTCAAGCACAAAGTTCAGAACCGGTTTCCAAGTAGAAACTAAAGGACTTAACGTTCTTTTCTTTTATCAGCACAGTACACTTGTCCATCTCTGCTAATCCCATCAGCTTTTGTAACCCTTCATCCATGGGGGGAATCGAGGCATCCTTCCACTTTTGTGCACAGAGCAATCTCGCTGCCGTCACCATATATAAAATCAGAGTTCCATTTTTTTTCCCCAGTTCTCTTTCCATTAGGCCCAGAAGGAAAGGGTTAAGGTTAGGGTCTTTCTTTTTTAAAAAATAAAAATAAAAATTGGCTTCTCTTGAAGGGTCTCTGTTCTGATCTAGCTTTTGAAGGAGGTTTTTTTCGAAAAAGGAAAGGGTTCGGAGGCTTGAAAAAAAACAATATACTATGAGAAAACTTCTCTTTTTGCTTTAAGGCACAGCTGTCCATATTGAAGAAGGGGATGTCGACAATTACACCATCCATGACATTGTGATGCCGCTGCCTGGTTTTGATGTGATTTATCCAAAGCATAAAAGTAAGAGTTTTGCTCAGAAATATCTCCTACTTGAGTAACAACCCAAAGGGAGAAAATAGAGGAATAAACCAGTCGACAATGCAAGTGTGGCATTCATAATTTTCAGTAGGGTGTATAAATTTGTATTAACTCTCATGTATGGAAAAGCTTTAATTGAGTTTATTTATTGTATTTATTTGTTAGTTAATCAAGATTTATATGGCCACCCATCTCATGGAAAAAATGACACTGGGCTGCATGCAAAAATTCAAAATTGCCTTTGAAATCTGACAGCTACTTCATACTAACTCTTGATTAATTCAGTGGATTTTTCAACTATGATAATACCTACCTACCGATATTGGTAAATGAAAATGAAAAAAAAAATCATTTTTCAATATCAGTATTATAATAGTTGTAATCTAACAAAAAAATAAAACTGAGAAAAGAGAATATTTGTAGCTCAAGTTGAATTGTGGCGCTCTTTGAGCTTGATGGTTTTATGGCAGACGTTTCATTACCATACTAGGTAACGGCATCAGCAGTGATGATGTTACCTAATTTGGTAATGAAATGTCAGCAAGAAAAGAACCCAGCTCAGAGAGCACTAAGGCCCCCCACGAAAACAAAAGTCAACTGGGCACTAAAAAGATTGCATTTCTACGGTGGAAGGGAGATGTTTCAGCATGAATGTGAAGATAATATTTTTTAAAAAATTGCGTATTATAGTGCAGCATCTGTCCTTTTTTTTTTTTTTTTTTGACAGTTGGGGAAAGCTACAAGGAAATGCTAGTTAGTGACAACTTGGATATCAATAACATGAAGCACAAAATTCGAGACTACTCATTGTCTGGGGCTTACCGGAAGATTATTATCCGACCTCAGAGTGTGAGCTGGTAAGTAAAAAAAATACAGGGAAGTCTAATTTATTCAGGATTATATATGCATGTTCCTGTTCACTCACCCTCATTCTTTTTGTTTGGACATCTCTAGTGCTCTGAGGATTTTATTTCTTAGGTTAGGCCAGGGGTAGGCAACCTTGGCTCTTTTGTGACTCGTGGACTTCAACTCCCAGAATTCCTCAGCCAGCCATGCTGAGGGGAAAGGGAGAGGTTTCCAAGCTGAGCCATGCTGGCTGAGGAATTCTGGGAGTTGAAGTCCGCAAGTCATGAAGGGGCCATAGTTTCCCCCATGCTGGCTGAGGAATTCTGGGAGTTGAAGTCCCCAAGTCATGAAGGAGCCATAGTTCCCCCATGCTGGCTGAGGAATTCTGGGAGTTGAAGTCCCCAAGTCATGAAGGGGCCATAGTTCCCCCATGCTGGCTGAGGAATTCTGGGAGTTGAAGTCCCCAAGTCATGAAGGGGCCAT